CATCTGCTCACAGATACCCGGAAGTACTGAGCCAAATGGGAGAGGCAAGCTCAAATACAACCCTCTAAGGTGAGGGGAGCACTGCCTGAGACAGCATTACACAAGAAGTTTCTGGCAAATGCCACCTATGCTTCCCGCTCGATGCCTCAGCAAGAGGGGATATCCTGGTGATCGGGAGGCCCCTCAGGGCGACCTAGATATGGTAGACCAGACAGGGCAGCCTGAAAGCATAAGCCCAGCCCGGACGTCCAGGAAACCTTTGCAGTGCCGTGCCCGGGCCTAATGATCAAGAAGTCTCCCGCAGAAGCCTGTGACCTGGCCGCATAATCCAGGAAGTATGAAGCCGAAACCCGGCTTATCGTACCGTCTACCCTAGAAAAAGGACAGAAACACACAGGTCCCGGGAAACATTGCAAAGAAAGCTAGCAGAAGGATTATACACAACCACATATATATACATATTTATTTATTTAGAAATGGATCATACTCGCACACCATGGTTCCCGCGTCGGAGCCCTGTCTGAAGAAGCCTCTGGTCCGGACCATCAGTAAGGTGGTCACTATGAAGCCATAGAACCAACCAAACATCATAGGTCCAGCATAGGAGACTGTAATGCAGGAAATTCCCACCTAACCTCGGTCAGGTGGAGAGATGGTGGTTATAGGGGAATTAGGAAGGGGAAGATCAAGGGCAGATGTAAGACCCCTGAAGGAAATGAGTAGATACTGAAGTATCACTCTGATCCGGACAAAGCGCTGACGCCCTGTCTGGTTCACATCCCTTAGGTCTTTTACCTACCTTCCTTTGACCCGCGATTATTCCATGTCATTTTCTTCACCCGCGTCACGGCAAGTAAAGTCTCGCCGTGGCGCGATCCATAACTTTCAAAAGCTCATACGCAGGGCAGGAGGATTGGGAATGCTCAGCCTCAGCTTTTTGCCCTCCTCAGACATTTTCCTGCTTTCCAGCAGAGCACTGGCCCCTGGATCAGACAATGTTAATGAAATAACATCATCCT